GGCCGCCAGCGCCAGTGTTCAAGCAACCATCCCACCCGCTGGTTTCTGGCAGTTTCAGTGGCGCACCCACGCCAGGAACCTTACCATGCAGATGTATGACTCGGGCGGTTGGGCGTTGATGTTGACGGTGACATCGGCGACCACAATGGCGATGATGATGATGATGATGATGATGATGATGACGACGTTGATGATGATGCTGATGATGATGATGGTGAGAATGGTGATGGTGGTGGTGCTGACGAGGTTGACGAGGGGGACCGCAGCGACGATGGCGATGATGATGGTGATGGTGATGATGATGATGATGATGATGATGATGATGATGATGATGATGATGGAGATGGTGATGACGGTGGCGACGGTGGTGATGGTGATGGAGATGATGGCGATGGTAGTGATGATGACGCCGGTTGCAATAATGACGCTGGCAATGATGACGATGTTGTTCATGAGGATGAGGTAGGACGCGCGCCAGAAAATGCAGAAATGACAGCCGATGTTCGTTGACAGACCTATCGATCTGCACCTGGTTCTGAACATCTCTATCTTGAAATGCTTTGGAATTCAATGGTTGTTCAGTGATTTCGGCATTCGCGTGCGGGGGGGCGCACACGTGTGGCACGCCTTGTATTTGTGTTGAAAGAATTGCTGTGTGTGCGATGGCTATCTGTTGGTCGGATTTTGACATGCGCGCGCGTGTGGCCTGCATGGGCTCATTTGACATCGTGTCCAGTCACATATTCTCGTCTCGAATGATGTTTCGGCGAACGTGCGCGCACATACCTCTAACGTCTTATGGGGAACAAATATTGTGTTTGATGGCGTGGGTTGTACTTCGTTTGAATACCCATGCTTTGTCTTGGTTTGGGCATGTGCGCGCGAGTGTGGCGTTCCTGGTGCCATTTGAGACGGGTTCATTGGAACTCAAAGCGAGACCTTGCCTGGGTTGTGGATCAGTGGCCGCTTGGATGTTTGCGGGGGTTGTTGGGGCGGCCTCTCGGAGCCCCACTGTATGCAATGTTGGGGTGGCATTGTGTTTCTTTTGGCCCCTTTCGGGGCCTCTTGGGGTCATTTTCGGCCTCTTGCGGTCACTTTTCGGCCAGACAAAGCAGCTGTTTAGGCGTCTTGGGAGAGCTCTTGGGGCTCCCTTGGGGCATCTTGTTGGCCTCTACGGCCGTCTTGGGGCCGCCTTGGGCATGTTGGATCGATCTTCGGGCGATTTAGGGGCCCTCTTGGCCCGTTATGGGCGGTCTCTTGGCTCG